CAGCAGATATATATATATATATATATATATATATCTCCTTTAGGAACAGTGAAGACAGAGACAGACAGGGAGATGGAGACATGTGTGTGTGCATACCAAACATAACACTGTGACATAGAATCCAACGTGCTTTCTTTAGCAGCCTGGCTAGAGGGTTGTGGCTAAGTTGCTATTTCCCCAGTATTTTTGGTTTAATAAAAGGAAGGGCTGAATAAATATTAATGCAAAGAAATGGGTTAACCAGCCAAGCCAGAACTAAGGAGCCCAGGCCAGCATCAGGGATGTCAAGCCATCTCCCAGCCCTATGTTTTGACTCACTTCAGGGTAGCTGTGGTGTGGGGAGGGCTGAAGTCTGGGAGGGTGAGGCAATGCTCCCGGAGCAAAGAACTAAGGAGCCCAGGCCAGCATCAGGGATGTCAAGCCATCTCCCAGCCCTATGTTTTGACTCACTCCAGGGTAGCTGTGGTGTGGGGAGGGCTGAAGTCTGGGAGGGTGAGGCAATGCTCCCGGAGCAGCTCTTTGCAGAGGAATCACTGCACCGAGCCAGCCAGCCGGCCAGGGAAAGTTTATTATTGCTCTGGAGTGCACAGTGAGCTCACTGTTTTGCAAAAACAGAAATCTGGCTGCTTTGAGATGAAAGAGGGGCTCCCTAGGGCTCTTCCTTCCCCCTTTCTCCCTATTCTTAAAAACTAACCCCCATTTCCTTTCACTTGGGGCCTCAGAATGAGTGGGAGATTGGGGTGCTAGGGAGTGTTGGATAGAGAAATAGGATCTGGAGGTCAAGTGTCAAAATAAAAATAAGTATTTCTTGATTCAACTGAACTTTATTACAATTAGTAGTGATAAGAATAATGATCCTTACATTTTATGCAGTTTACAAAGTACTTTGACATGTTAACCAGCAATAGTACCAATATTAATATCAATACTAATAATAACCAACACTTACTGATGGTTTTCTGTGAGTCTGACACTATGCTCTACATACTGTATGGTGTATTTATGTTAAAGTCTGTGGCAGTGGCAGATCCACAACTTCTGTATATAGAACTCAGTGGCACAATCAGTTTGGAAGGGGAGGCTGGGTATTGTTTATGAAGGTATATTTGCATAACACTTTACATAAGATTGCATATAACAAAGTATGGGGGGGCCTAATGGAAATTTTGAGCACCCCAAACCACCTCTGGGAGCCTAAACTTGTCAAAGCCACCTCTCAAATCAGAGTTACTGGATTCAGATTCCAGCTCCATCTCTTAAGGCTGTGAGAGAGTTATTTAACTTCTTTACTTTTCTCATCTGTAAAATGGAGTTAATAGAATCTACCTTGTAGATAATATTAAGGGCTTAATAATACAGATAATATACTCAATAATGTAGATAATATTGAGGGTGATGCAAGCAAACCACCTCGGACAGTGTCTGGCTCACAGTCTTAGTAAGAGCTACCTCCTATTATGACAAGAAACAAATTGAAATCTCAAACAACTCTAAGTTGGGAGCTATTATTCCATTTTAGAGATGGAAGACAGTTTTGTAAGTAACCAGCTCAGAGTTGCAAAGCCTGTAGGTGACAGGAGAGGAAATTCCAACATTGTGGGCCAGCCTCCAGAACCTGAAATCTCAGTATATTGCCTCCCTTCCTCCAGTCTTCCCTGGAATTATTCCAATTTTCATGAAATAAAAAAAGTAGACCCCCCAAATTAGAAGAATCGGTTGAAATACCCAACTAGAGCTATGATCAACACATCTGTCTGCAATACACAGTAATGATGAGCAGTGATCTTGTAAGGGAAAGAAATCATGGCCTTGCTCAGCCTTCTGGGGCACTATGGAATGAAATCACATTATGTGAGAAAGAACTTTGAAAACTGCGGCTGTGCTTTACAGAAGTACATGAGTATTATTAAATGCTGTACCCATCCTCTTTTATCAAACCCAGAAAAACCACTCACCTGTTTGGCCTCTCCAGCACCTCCCCCTCCCTGCCCTCAACTGCAGCTGTGCGCAGCCAGTTGACTGTTTTCCTGAAAGGCCTCCGGGTGCTCATATCTTCTTTAGACGTTCAGCCAGAATTTTTGGAGTGCGGCTGGTGGGAGGCAGGGGTAGTTCACCCTGCATTCATTTAGCTCCGACCAGGGCACAAAAACAGATCGAAAGGCAATTTCTGGAAGAATGGGAAACAGCTAATTTTGCAGGTGCTTCGGCATCAGTGGTGGCAATGAACGTAACATCCATGCGGGGGGTGGGGGAAGGAAGGTGAGGTTTGATCGCAGAAGAAATGGGTAACACCTTATATGAAATTCACAATGAAAAATCCCTAAACAGGACATTTAAATTCACTGCCGGGGGTGGGGCGCAGGGCTCGGAAACGACGCTTGTGGTTCTTAAATGCGTTTTTACTTGGGAAAGGCAGGCAGAGAAAGGAAAGGTCATCGTCTGTTTAATTTCCATCCCCCGCCCTGGACTTCCAGCCTTAGCTCGCCGGGCCTCAGCTGTTGTACACACACGGTGAGGGGGGAGGGGAGGGCGGAGGCGCGGAGGAGGGGCCGACTGGGAGGAATCTGGGCGTCCTGCCGCGCATGCGCCTTTCCGGAGCAACAAGTGGGCTCTACAGACAGAGGAAGTGTAAGGCGGGGCGGGGGGGGGAACTGGTGCAGAGCATGGCGGTGACGTCAGCGCTCCGCCCGGGCGGCATCCCGCGCGGCCAAGCCGGGAACAGCGCGAGCCGCAGCCCGAGCAGGAGCGCCGAGACGCGCCTCCGGAACGTAGAGTAACAATCACAACCCCACATTCCGGGCGAGCGCGAGCGGGAAGGGATGCGACCCGGGCCGAGGCGCCGCGCGAGCGCCCTGCAGCCAACGTGAGCGCCGCCAGCTGCGGCGGCCCGGGCGCGGGCCAGGCCTGGGGGCGGCGGGAGCCTGCGTGCGTGCGCTCCTCTCCTCTGCTCTCGTGCGTCCTGGAAGCGGCGGCCGCGGCGGCTCCCTCCGGCGTGCACACCTAGCCGCCACCAGCTGAACGGCCGTCGTTGCGGAGAGGAGAAGCTCCTCTCTCGGCTGCCACCCCCTCCCCCGGCCCTCCCGAGAAGCAGCGGCTTCAGCAAGATTGGACCTGGGCACCGGGTGGCACTGAACCCTCTAAGTCCTCGCCCCAGGGAGCCCGGCGGGGAGAGGACGCAGCTCGTAGGGGGCCCCCAGGGGAAAGGAAGAGACAGCTCCTTTCCAGCTTCCACGCACCAGTCACTCCGGGGAGGGGGCCAAGAGGCAACGACAGCCAGGACCCGGCACCCTCGCCCCCTCCCCCCGGTCCGGGAGCTTCCAGCCCGGGTCCGTGGCACCAGGAAGAAGGCGCCTGAGCTTCTCTCCCGACGAGACAGCCGCAGTAGGAGGTGGGGGCGAGGAGCGGGCTGAACTCGTGGAGCCCCCGCGGAGAGGCGCTGCGCCGGCGGTGGAGACTCGCGCTCCCTCCAGCCCCTGGGGCAGAACTTTCTCGCCCCCCCTTCTCCCTCCCCCGCAGCCGGACACCCTCCCCAGCCGGCCAGTCCTCCCGGAGGAGAAGGCGCCGCGGAGAGTGCCCGGGCGGGGGCCTACCTTCCCCAGGGCCGGCATCATGTCGGCGGCGCAGGTGTCCTCGTCCCGGAGACAATCTTGCTACCTGTGCGACCTGCCCCGCATGCCCTGGGCCATGATCTGGGACTTCTCGGAACCCGTATGCCGCGGTTGCGTCAACTACGAGGGCGCCGATCGCATCGAGTTCGTGATCGAGACCGCGCGCCAGCTGAAGCGGGCACATGGCTGCTTTCAGGACGGCCGCTCCCCCGGGCCGCCGCCGCCCGTCGGGGTCAAGACAGTGGCCCTGTCGGCTAAGGAAGCGGCGGCGGCGGCGGCGGCAGCGGCCGCCGCACAGCAGCAGCAACAGCAGCAGCAGCAGCAGCAGCAGCAACAGCAGCTCAACCACGTTGACGGTTCCAGCAAGCCTGCGGTGCTGGCGGCCCCGTCCGGCCTGGAGCGCTACGGCCTGAGCGCAGCCGCCGCCGCAGCCGCTGCAGCCGCCGCTGCCGTGGAACAGCGCAGCCGCTTCGAGTACCCGCCACCGCCGGTGAGCCTGGGAAGCAGCAGCCACGCCGCGCGGCTGCCCAACGGCCTGGGGGGCCCAAATGGCTTTCCCAAGCCAACACCGGAGGAGGGACCCCCGGAGCTGAACCGTCAGAGCCCCAACTCGTCTTCAGCGGCGGCGTCGGTGGCCTCTCGGCGTGGGACGCACGGTGGGCTGGTGACTGGGCTGCCCAACCCGGGGGGTGGCGGAGGACCCCAGCTCACAGTGCCCCCCAACCTGCTGCCGCAGACGCTGCTTAACGGCCCAGCCAGCGCCGCGGTACTGCCCCCACCTCCGCCCCACGGGCTGAGCAGCCGTGGGCCCCCGACGCCCGCGCCCCCAGGAGCTCCCGGGGGCCCCGCTTGTCTCGGGGGCGCCCCGGGTGTATCGGCCGCGTCGTCCTCGGCGTCGTCTTCGACCTCGTCGTCTGTGGCAGAGGTGGGCGTGGGTGCTGGTGGCAAGAGGCCCGGCTCGGTGTCGAGCACGGACCAGGAGCGCGAGCTGAAGGAGAAGCAGCGCAACGCCGAGGCCCTGGCGGAGCTGAGCGAAAGCCTGCGCAACCGCGCCGAGGAGTGGGCCAACAAGCCCAAGATGGTCCGCGACACGCTGCTCACGTTGGCTGGCTGCACGCCCTACGAGGTGCGTTTCAAGAAGGACCACTCGCTGCTGGGCCGCGTCTTCGCTTTCGACGCCGTCTCTAAGCCCGGCATGGACTACGAGCTGAAGCTGTTCATCGAATATCCCACGGGCTCGGGCAACGTGTACTCCAGCGCGTCTGGTGTCGCCAAGCAGATGTACCAGGACTGCATGAAGGACTTCGGCCGGGGCCTCTCCTCCGGCTTCAAGTACCTGGAGTACGAAAAGAAGCACGGCTCTGGGGACTGGCGCCTGCTTGGGGACCTGCTGCCCGAGGCCGTGCGCTTCTTCAAGGAGGGCGTGCCCGGCGCGGATATGCTGCCCCAGCCCTACCTGGACGCCAGCTGCCCCATGCTGCCCACGGCGCTGGTGAGTCTAAGCCGCGCCCCTAGCGCACCCCCGGGCACTGGGGCCTTGCCGCCCGCCGCGCCCCCGGGCCGGGGTGCAGCCGCCAGCCTGCGCAAGAGGAAGGCATCCCCCGAGCCCCCTGACTCAGCCGAGGGCGCTCTGAAGCTGGGCGAGGAACAGCAGAGGCAGCAGTGGATGGCGAACCAGAGCGAGGCGCTGAAGCTTACCATGTCGGCCGGGGGCTTTGCGGCGCCGGGGCACGCGGCAGGAGGTCCTCCACCGCCGCCCCCACCCCTGGGACCCCATTCCAACCGGACCACACCGCCCGAGTCAGCTCCCCAGAACGGCCCGTCCCCCATGGCCGCCCTCATGTCAGTGGCAGACACTCTGGGCACGGCGCACTCCCCAAAGGACGGCAGTTCTGTGCACTCTACCACTGCGTCCGCGCGGCGCAACAGCAGCAGCCCGGTGTCGCCGGCCTCCGTGCCGGGGCAGCGCCGGTTGGCATCACGTAACGGGGACCTGAATTTACAGGTGGCGCCCCCGCCGCCTAACGCCCACCCGGGCATGGACCAAGTGCACCCCCAAAACATTCCGGATTCCCCCATGGCCAACAGCGGACCCCTCTGCTGTACCATTTGCCACGAACGTTTGGAGGACACGCATTTCGTTCAGTGCCCATCCGTCCCCAGCCACAAATTCTGCTTCCCTTGCTCTAGAGAGAGTATTAAGGCCCAGGGGGCCACCGGCGAGGTGTATTGCCCCAGCGGAGAGAAATGCCCCCTAGTCGGGTCGAATGTACCTTGGGCCTTCATGCAGGGCGAAATCGCGACTATCTTAGCTGGGGATGTTAAAGTGAAAAAGGAGAGAGACCCTTGAACCACAGGGCAGCCACCTCTTTTGCCCTAGACCAGCTCCCCTCCAATCCAGAGGGCCCCTCCCCCACCCACCTGGACCTTCCCTTCCCTCACCCCCATGATGTAGAATTGTGAATATAACAAACTGCAAAAAGTTAGTCTTATGTATAGACATTATTTTCGTGGTATGTTTCTATATTTTGAAACAAAGGTATGTAACTTCTTCATTTGAAGGATAAGCTGGTTTGTGTTAAGCGGTATAATATTGGTTGGGTCATTTGCATCATATTCGTTAGCATTTATTTGGTGGCAGAATGTTTGCCTAGGTACAGAATAGCCCTTAGCAACGACTGCTGCTGGTGTGTACTTTTGTAAATGTTATGCACCCTCTGAAAGGAAAAACACAAAAGAAAAAGACTTTTTTTTTTTTTGCCAAGGCCAGTGTTGCTGCCTAAAAAAAAAAAATGATGCTATAAAATGGTGAAAGCTTCTTTCTAAACAGCCCCAAGTGTTGAAGTCTTCACTTAATTTTGTTCTGTTTTGTTTTCCTGTTTTGTTTGCAAAATGGTAAGGGGGGTGTTGGGGGGGAATGATGCTATAAAATGGTGAAAGCTTCTTTCTAAACAGCCCCAAGTGTTGAAGTCTTCACTTTATTTTGTTCTGTTTTGTTTTCCTGTTTTGTTTGCAAAATGGTAAGGGGGGTGTTGGGGGGGACGGGGTGTTTTTCGTTGCAAGTTGGTGAGGGGAAAATGTTTTGGTTTGTTTCTACTGACCTGAATGTGTTGGCTCTTCACGTGTTGTTTTGTTTTTGCTTTATTGATGCACGGATGCTTTTGAACAGTAGAGCGAAATGCTAGCCATGGAGAATCTGCTCTGTTTGTCCTTTATACATTTCTGTAGTTAACAGAACACTGTAATGTGCCTTGGAGCTTAGTAACTTGTAATAAATTCAATTGATATTAATTCTGCCCCGAGTCAGCAAGTTTGTCTTTCTAGGGCTAAGACCACACGACTCCAATGTAGGGGACACCTTCCCTACCTCCCAGTAAAACACAAATGTTAGTGCCTTGCAAACCCTCAGAGCTGGCATGTGAGGAAGGCCCTGTGCTGCCTGGCTGCCCCTCCCCCTCAGTACCAGGCTATTTACATTCACCTCTTGGGGAGGCTACAGTTGCTGACTAAGCGATTTCTGTTTACTCTTCAGCATGTCTTATTTCACCACCCCTTCCCCCACATGCAGGGCGCAGCTGGAAATGGGACTGTCAGAAATGATCTTTGGTCCCTTACCCTGTGGCCATTGAGTATAGGCTGTTACTCAATGCAGCTGTGACTTGAAATTCTAGAAAAAAGCTAGGGTGCTTTGCCTCTTCAGTATGGCAGAAATCACTGTTACTGCACATTTAACACAAGAATGCCACAGAGCTGGGAGCTGTCAGTGGGTGTGGCAAGGAGTGTGTGCATGTCCTTAGGATAGTCTCCAGCAGATTCCAGCTGATGTGGTGCAAAAGTAGTTTTCACCTCATTACACGTTTTTCTCTTTCCTCTCTTTTTAATAAGTATTTTTAAAGGCAGAACATGGTTGATCAGAGAGGGTTTTGGGGATGGGGAAGGGGGGAGAACCCAAACAAAGTTGCTGAAGCAAAGGTTGATTACGTCGCCAAATCAAATCCGTTCTCACTGGTGAAGAAATGCAGTTCATCTAATCAACTTTTTGGCAGCATGTGTGGGGTGCAGAGGGATGAGGAAGAGGACGGGGGACTGTCCCCTTTAGAGCTCCGAGCCCCCTGGGCTGAGACTAGACTGGAGTCCCTCTGCCCCCCAGAGCTAGGGGAAGACAAACAAACTCGGTGTGAACCTTGTACCTTCCTGGGAGGCAAATAGCAGAAGAGTAGAAAACAGGAGAGAGGAAGCAAAACAAAGCCTGGTGATCCTATCTGAACTTCATTCCTGGCCACGCCCCATTCCTGGGAGGGTCGAGCTGGGCCGGACAGTCCCCACTGTGGCTGGGGGAATATGTGAAGAAACTCCGCGCCCCTACTCCAGCGTAGGGAGGTGGGTATGGGTGCAGGCACGTTTGGGAAAAGACAAATCACCGGTTAGCCCAAAACACCGGTGTGGAGGTTGGGTTGGTGTTGGGACTTGCTGTTAATAACACCCTTTTAGTTTCTCTTCCAGCTTTACCACTACCATCACTGAAGTGGTGGAAACCAGGACTGTGTGTGTGTGTGTTTGGGGGTGGGGATAAGTGGTAATATTGATGGATCTGGTGCAGCCTCTTAATCCTGGTACATGGGAGGTGCCTGTCTCACCTCTTTAAGAATCTCCCTACATATAAATAGATATTCCTGTCAGCTTCCTGCAAATGTGTCCTTCCATTTTCATCTGCTGCCAAGTGTTGTATTGGTGCTTATGAGTCATGAAACCCATTTTCATTCTCAGGGGTAATTAACTTGGAGTGAGAATGCATGGCAGACTGTAGGTAGAGTTAATTCTAAAACCCATTCTTGCCTGGCTACCAATCACACATTTCACTTTAAGGTCTGGGTTGGCTTTTCTTGTAATCTCATTAATAAAAACCAAGCATATTTCGCCTGGAAGATCCTCTAAGGTGCTTCCACCTCCCACTCACAATGCACATACTATTAAAATGGGTAAAGCTCAAGAGCATGAGACTACAGAGGGAGTGTTAAGGGTGTGATTTAACCACCATTGAATGAAGGAACGGCAGGTGTGGCCACAGCATTGAACTGTGCATGTGAACTTAAATGCGTGGATTACCTGTCTGGGTGTGGACCCATGAATAGTGTCTGGTGGTTCCAACTGGGAGTGGGCCATGTTATCTGCCTCTGAGTGCACATCTGCTCCTGCCAGCCTGCAACTGTCTTCTTCATTGCTATGGTATTATGTTCAGGGACTTGTAGGATTACAAGACCTTAGATTACTAGTGCACATAGGTAGAAAAAGGGGCCTGTCATTAAGAGCTGAGAATGGGATTGTTTTCTCACCCTTCTTGTTGCTGGGTGCTATTATTAGCTGGAGAAGCAATAGCTCTAATAAGGAGGCATCCAGCAAAGGCTGGATTGGTTTGGTTTCACTAAGGAAGCCTGACTTGAAGAGACTTGGGGGAGAGGAGGCAGGGAGGGAGCGGCTGGAGTGGAACTCAGGCTGGAAGTGAATTATAATGGTGCAGTTAATTAAAGTTTACCATAGCCAGGGGCAATTTGTTAAATGGTGGCTCTCCCCTTTTTTTTTTGAAATCATGTGACCTTTCTCTTTGCTCTGACCCATTCAGTTCCTAGTCTGGTTGCCTTAACCAGTCTTGCTTTGATCCCTCATCTAGATTTTCTTTCCCTGGAGCTTTGGGACACCTAGGAAGCAATTTTCCTCTCTGGCATGTGAGGATTCTTGTGGGTTTCTGAGATTCAGACTCAGATCTCTGGACGAGCCTAGACTCCACTCATCTTCACTTCACCTAGGATCTCCCTACCCCCCACTTCCCATCCTTCTCACTCCCTTCCTCATCAGAGCCAAAGTGGCCGTACTGTATTTGTTTAAAAATCCATACTGTATTTGTTTACATGCGTCATCTGTGTAGCTAATCCAATCTGGATGTTTCTTTAAGTGGGCATGGGGGTAGGACAATGAGGACTTAGTACAACAGAATAGGCTGATGGGGAGAACAGGCTGATGGGGGTCATTTTATGACCTTGATCTCTGAAGACAGCATCATAGAAGACCCGCTAGTGAAGGCACTCACCATATCAAGCAAATCCTAAATATAGGATTGGAGGTGCATTTTCATGTGCTTCCAGTTCAGACTTGCTTACGTAGTGAGTACTGAAATGCACTTCTGTTTTCTCTTACACTTCATCAGATCAAAAAAGTTGGAACTGAGAATGACCCTTAAGGTCACCCAGTGAAATGTTTTCTAAACCTTTCTGGGATCAGAAACATCTTAGAAAAATCTAATAAAAATTATGATCCTCCCCAAGAAAGTAGAGGTACTTATATACACATGGATTGCATACATTTTCTTTCCTTTTTAATATACACTTTATCTACTTATGTTTGAGCAGGTAATACATTCCTTTGGCTTGAAATTCAAAAGATGCAAAAGGGAATACAGTGCAACCGTAATGCCTGTTTTCTACAAATGGCCCCTCTGCCACCCAGCTCCTTTCTGGGATACAACCAACATTACTCAATTTTTAAAGGGGTTCATGCATATCTAAAGCCTGTTCACAGAACTTGAAGTTAGAACCTGGGTCTAATCCATCCATCTTGTAAAGATGAGAATGCAAAGGCACAGAAAGGTGAAATAACTTGCCTGTGGTCACACAGTGGCAGAGTCTGTTAGGGAACAGCTATAATAGACATTTTAAAAACATTTTAAGAATTCTTGGCTTAACTAGAGCTTTCTTCTATGAGAAGGGGTGATGGTGAGGTGGGCAGAAGAGTGAGTACCTGGTGGGGTGGGGTTCATCATTTTGACTAACTCTTAGAAGACTGGGAACAAGCATTGTCCCTTGCTCTCTTTTGCAGCCATATGTTTTGGGGAAAGAGATGTTCAGAGAAGTTTCTAGAATTCTGGCTATAAATGTCAGGTGGGCCTGAACTGGTAGAGTCTTTTCCTAACCTTTGATCTGTGGACCTTCACACCACCTTCCCCTTTGCTGATTAGAAACTTTTGAAGGTTTAAAGACAGATAACAATTGACTTCAAACCAACAGGAAGCGACCATCTGGGCATGCGGGGAAGCAGTAGGGAGAGAGACACCTGGGACTCCCTCCTTCCTTTGAGCTTGGGGTGTTTCTGCTGTCTCCCTGTCACCTACCTCTGCCTGGCTGTCTCTCCGCCTGCTGAAGAGGGAACTGAAGGAGTCTAGTGACATGCTAGGTGCTGCACAAGGTGCCAGGTAGATGTGCACTGCACCAACTGAGCTTGAGACCAGCCTGTGAGGAAGGTATGATGACCCTGCCAAGTTCAGAGAGTTTAAATAAGCAAGGCCACCCAGACCCACAGCAGTTCAAGCCCAGGTTAGCCTAGAGTCTGGACTCTTCCCTGACTGCCATGCTGCTCCATGTGGAGGGTTCTGCCTTCTGACCTGCAGGGTCCAGGAAATTGAGGCTCAGAGGGTGAGCCTCATCCCTCAGCCCTGTCTGCATCTTCCTGAGTCTCAATGTGAGCCTCACCAATGCCCGTCAGCAAGGCTATCTACACTAGGGGCAGTCAGGAAACGCCTAGGCAAGAGCATTTTTTCTGGGTGCACACAGTGATGCTGTCCAAGCAATATTTCCAATCAGGGATTCTGGGGCAAGGCTGTTCTTCTGAAGTCTTTCTCAGCTGCCTCCTACCCCCACACTTAAAGAATGAGCCCACCTCTGTCTCAGTTTTGATGGAACAGAGAGGTGGGCAGGAAGCAGATGGTAGTTCTAATTTCTAAGGTATATTTCTAAGGTATGGGC